ATATCCTGTAGTTCTAGTGAGAAGCCGTTACCAGTGGATTTCAACTGGGTCTGTAGTGGGGTAGTAAATCATTGATGATAATGGTGAAGGTGTCGCTCAATTTCATGGATTAGTTGGAGTTAGACATTAACACCGTTGCATGCCGGCTTAGTGGTCTAGTGGTTAAGCGCTCACGCGCGAAACTGATAGGTCCTGGGTCGCGAATGCGCACTACTGAGAAGTCCCATTATAGGACGAAATTGCCGTTCAGTGCATTCAGGTTTTCCATAGTGGTGTAGCTTCAATTGATTCATGATCTTAACTATTGAAGTTCTTGTATTAAATTAACCTGAACTATGGTCAGCATAACATGCAAAGTGTAATTTCACAGTAATTTCATGTGTAACATTTTTTACCGATTGATAATCAAGTGTGCACAAATCAATATATAAGTTAGTGCATTTCTGTATAGAATCATTGTCATGGAAATTACATTAGTTCCTTATTTCAAACCCAAGTAACAAGCAATATGGATAAAACATTTGGCGACAGGAAGTTTAGAAAACAGAAAACTATAATAATTTCTAGTAAAATAACTATCTAATTTTCATTATTACAATTTTATTAAATTTCTGATATTAAAACAAGATGATATTCTACAAGACTATTGTTCTTCGTTTTAATAAGAATTATATAACAGTTGATCCTATATTTGAGTATTAAACTGTTTAACTACAATAAAACATTCAAGTAAGGTTTGAGTATAACAGAATTTTGTCTATTGACAATAAATAAACCCGACTCACACATCCTCGTCGTGTCCCCTGGATAGTGGGACTCAATCCCATGACCTAACTTGAGCAGTAAACCAGGTGGTAGAGATCGAGCTAATCTTATACTCAACTGATACCCAAAAATTAATTGCGAAACGCATAAAGAATCACAACACAATTACTCTTGAATCGAAAAACGACAAAATAAATGACCTATTTTGATGAAAAGTACGTCGACACTAATCGATATTCAAACAAACTACTTTTGAATATTGTAGTGATCTAGATTTTATAATTAATAATTCAAAATCTTATAGCTCTATTCAAAAGTAAAATATTAGATTAATTGTTTGTCAATAAAATCAATAGTACTTTTGTGGTGTAGGTTACTTATATCCATACCGTATAAAAGCTGGTCAGGCATAGAATGTATTTCGGCGGAAGATCGATAAGGAAAGAACGGGAACGCAAAACGATTGGTATGAAAATGAAATCTGAGACAATTGACTGATATTTGCAAAATGAACAGTGAAGTTTGAGAAAATGGATTGATATTTTGCAAATTAACTGTTTACTATTTGGTTATCAGATTTTAGTGAGATGCTCTGTAATTTCGTGTTGAATACATTCGTTTCTTCCCACTTGTGTTCATTGTTCACTACAGAGACACTAACTTATATCAGGATGAGAACTATTTTGAAGTTGCAACATAGTCAGATCAACGTAACTAATTGAGATGATGGATTGATATTTTGCAAATTAACGATTTATTATATGGTTCTCAGATTTTATTAAGATGCTCTGTAATTTCGTGCTGAAGTACATTCGATTGTCTCCACTCATATCCTTGTTCACTACACTTTCATATAATTATTCAACATGGTAGTAATTCTCTTCTAATAGATTATATTAATGGAAAGTATGACCTGATAGCGTATATCAGTCTATAATCAACTTTATTTCTAATAAATTAAAAAAAATTTTTATTTATCTATCATGATTGATAAAAAAATTAATTAGAATTATTGATTTATCTTAATTAATAAATCAATACTTACTAATTGGATTTAATTCAATAAAAGTCAATCAATTAACTGCATGTATATTCGTCGATAATCGTCATGTATATTGATGTGTTATTATGTGTCTTTGTCAAGAATAGAATATATACTATTTGGTTAGTCAAATGTTATAATCTTTCCACCTCCACCACCACCCTATCTTGTAACTATGCCTTTATAAATATTAAAAATAACATTTTTTTTAAATGTAGATCATAATTGTTGTTATTATGATTTATTTTGTTTTTAATTACTAATTAAATAAATAATTAATTACCCCTTGTTATTTATTGTTCTTTCTAATCATTTATATTTTTTTCAAAAACAAAATCTGAAACAAAAAATAAAAGGAGAAATATAAAATGATTATTGGAAAAATCAATGTCTAACTTTTAGCTTATGCAGCTTTCTATTTTGTTATCAAATATTCATCATCAAGAAATCTAATCTATAAAATTATTTATATGAATAAAAAATTTACCTAAAATAAGGTTCATATTGAGTAGTTGTGGATTCGTTTATGATTAGAGTACTGAAATTCATCGTCAATATTTAAGTGATAACTGATTTTGAGAAGGTATTCAATACCACCTTGAATGATCTAATATATTCTTTCAGTGATTGGTAGGTTATCAGTTTGATGTCCTTTGAAATCATAGTTGTCTAATGCTCAGGAGTTGTTTGATATGACGGCACCAATATCTAGAACGTCCCGATTTTCATTGATTATCTAATTGAGTTCAAAAATTGATGTAAACTATGAAAATAGAAAATCTCTATAAATTCTCCCCTAGTAACTATTTTTCTAGTTGATCTAATGTTTTTCCTCGTTTTTGTTATAACTTGTGGCCAGTGTGTCCGGTTAATGTATAACGTCACGATAACGCCCATTACAGAGCAGTGAATTATCGATCGGATCAATGACGCATAATACCCGTACGAGCAGTCTAGAGTCCTGATTATTGGTCCTGCTTTCCACCTAGCCCAACCAGTTAAGTCCAGAACACCAATCTCAGCCTCTGTAATATGAATCCTGCATTTCAAACATACTGGGTTTATATACCATCCAGACAGACCACATCGTACGTATAAAATAGGAAACAACATTTCTACAAGATTTGGCCGAATGTGGCTGCGAATGTGGGAGGTAGTAATTAATAGACAGTGCATAATTCAAGAATGATAAATCATATAATAATAATAGTTCATAGGTCAAAATACGGTTCATAATAAGGGGGACACGACTATGAATAGTTTAGTTACATAACAATTATACGATAAAAAGTATATGTATAGTATTAATCCATAAATGTATCCCAAAATTTACCATTCATTATGCTTATCGGGACATAACAGTTCTGTGCAATTTTAGAACTATTTTACAAAATTTACACTGGTACAGTGAGGAATGCAAAAATGAAAATTATTGGTATTCATGTCCCAAAACTCTATTTCAACTCCCACAATTCACGTCTACAAAATATTATGGTCACTAACTATCATTCCTTTCAAGTGGTATGCTATTAATTCAAGCAGTCTGATTACTTATTTTATTCTAACTAAGGACCAGTTCATTCTCATATTACACCTGAAAAACGAACAAATTGTTTTGGATGAGTAAAAGGTTAATGGATGTGTAAAAAGATTTATATAACTCACTTTCATCTGGAGCGGTTTTCATCTTGCCAACGGTTCTGTTTTTTAACTTTACAGTTTTAGATAAAGTAAAAAGAGTGATGGGTCAAATTCCTTGACATAGTTGAAAGTCATAGGTTTGATCCCTGTTAGGGTCGTGGATCAATACTGGGAGGGTGTTCTGTATTAAAATAAAATACTTGTTCAGTGCTTCTTGCTTTTCAATAGCTGTCAAACTAAGATCGGTCTGTGATATAAATATTAAATTTCAATAATGCTTACCAACTACTATAGTTGTCATAATAAATTGTTTTGTCTTTCATGAACCTTATTTCTGTATTTTATAAATAATAACATCGATGTCTCAGTGTTTATATACTGTCACACAAGTATATATATATATATAGTCTTTATTAGGCTACAAAAGAAGAGTGCATGTCCTTCGATATCAATACCTACTGACATATTTATTCACTTTAGGGAAAAAGACTCAAAAAGCTGTACTTCACAAAAATATTTAAAAATAACTTTACATGTAGTAACTGTGAAGATTTCACTTTATTTAACGATTTTACTTCCATTGATTTATAGATGATAGATGTAGCTTGATGTTTTGAATTTTGCACTTTGTATCATTATCATGGATATAGTAGTCATTTGATTAAATTCAGTATTATTTAGTGATAAACCTATTTTCTAATCGATTCTTCTAAGTTCTATGGTCCTCCTACATGTTTGTAACAAATAATAAGTTTATAGGGTTTCTATCTAAAGCATACTAACTTGACCCAGAGTGTTAATCCCTCATTTTCATTTAAGGGTTCATTTATATTATGTACATGATTAAACTATTTCTCGATAGAACAATGAGAAGACGGAGTTGATCTGAAAAATGTGATGTATTTGCGCTATACATTTCGAACAATCTGGTCACACATGTACTTGTCAAGGCATTTTTATATGAAAATTAATAAAGGTCAATAAAGGTCTTATTTTTTCTCTCCCCTTATTTATTTTAATTGTACTTTTATTTGTTTGACCTTTATTGACCTTTATTAATTTTCATATAAAAATGCCTTGACAAGTACGTGTGTGACCAGATTGTTCGAAATGTATAGCGCAAATACATCACATTTTTCAGATCGACTCCGTCTTCTCATTGTTCTATCGAAATTTATAAAAGGGACTAATTGCTTTAAACTATTTCTGTTTTCATTGCGACAAGTTTTAATTGTGAAAAGAACAATTGAATTCAAGAGTTGATCTAAGCTAAACTACCACTGAAAACCTGGAAGCGTTGGACGATCTTTCCGTTGTATTATGGGACTTCTTAGCAGTGCGTATTTACGATCTCGAACACAGATCTAGTATAAATCGACTCATGAACTCAACTGTTAAAATACTACAATGTTTACAAACCCCCATACTAAAAAGAATAATTTTTTTGTAGATATGTAAATCCTTTTTTCAATTAACTAAATTAATATCTTAACACAAACCTTTTACCTTACTATTGAATAATTATTTCTCCCCTGTTATTATGTTATTTTAGAACATATACGATTGGCCAATATAAATGCTAAAGGCGCTCATCTTTTCAGTGAAGATCTAAATCAATTGAAGAATCAAATGTCTTATAAAAAAGAAGTTACTCAACAATTTGACAATCTAAGTTTTCTATTAGTAAGTTATTCGTTTTGTTTTATGACTCAATTAAGTTTTCTTTATATATATATATATATATTATTAGTCGGAGACAAATCCTCTAACCGAATAATAACATAATGTAATACTGTTCTTTTTTAAATAATAAATTCTCAATGAATTCTTTTGTCGATATTGTTCTTGATGTTAGTTGTCAGTTATAAGAAGATCGCCTTTTCCACTAATCATCATATCCAAAATGTTGCTTTTTTTTTCTATCACACACACAATGTTTAATTTCTTTAAAATGATCACAATAATCCATACAGTTTTCATTTAATATAGTATCCTATAGATTTGTTAATTTACTCTTCAATATATATGTATCGCTTACTTGGGGAACAAACAATAGGGATGACAATAGTTGAAAGAAATAAATCTCTTTTAAACAAAAATTCAACTGATGTCAGTTCTTCTACAAAATGAAAAATTTCTATGACAATACAATGTATCTTAAAGTTAGATTTTTGGGGTGTGTTGCTCATTCTAATTTATCATATAGCTTATTCATAAACGGAATGAAATGAAAGTATAGTGTAGACAGTATCTTTCGACTATTTGATTTATTTCTTAATTCTTCTAATAAATCGTATTTTATTGTATACGAATATAAAATAATCTGAATGACTGAAAGTTAAATAATTCCAACACTCTGTACAGGAAAACTGTCTGAAACTTGACTAGTTTGCTGAATGAACCATTGGAATTATATTCAATTTTGATCGCTTGGATTATTTCAATTATAACTTTTTACAAACAATATCTTCTCTATACTCGGCGTGGTGGATAGTGGCCAGCAGTGGAGTCCAGGATGCGCGTTTCATCCTAGTTCGGACTCGTCTGATGGATGTACCTGCATCCCAGAGTTGATGTTCACCCCAGTTGACGAGTTCCAAATAGGACAAAAGGCGAGTCGAATTGAAATCCACTGCTAGTCACTATCCACCTTTGCTTAAAAAAGCTTGTGATTTAAGGCTATATCGAGTCAATCCGCACAAGATGCACATATGCCGACATGAGACTAATTAATTGCAGTCCTAAATAACAATGGGAAGATGCAAGTAAAAGCAACACCAAGTGAATTCAAAATAATCGTTGTGAGTTGCGCTGACTGAATATCTGCAACAGAAATTTCATGAATTCACAGTTATGAATCCGAAATAGTTTACACTGACTACTGATAATCTGAGAATTTGTTAACAAAACAAGAAATTGTTCGTAAGATTGATGTAATTGTAGGGCATGGAGTTAAAATAATGTTCTTAGTAGAAAACTCTACTGATTATTTATGACGTGATAAATTTAGTTTTACAAAAAAGCTTCTATGGTTTACTTTATACATAATGTTATCGCCTAGTTTATTAAAGTAACTAAAACAAATTAGAATGGATTGAATTATTCATCATTCAAAAATAAACACTTACTGAAAATGATTTGAAAGCAACATAGTAGGAAAGATAATGATCTTACAGATTATTAAAGATTAGATATGACAAATCAATTGATGTCAATCATTTCAAAACATTAACCATTATATTTATAATGAATGTTAAGACCGGAAAGTTTAAGTTCATCTTATGATATAGTTTTGTTACAGTCATAGTTTCAGATATAGTAAACATGAAAAAAACTTTTTGACACAAATTTCTAATGTAAAATAACTAATAGGAACACAAAATTTGTTATTCATTCAAAACTTATATGTATAATGAGTAATATTATTTCAAAGTTATTCTTTCTTTCTGAAAAAAAATCATTCGCTCAATTTCGTGGATTAGTTGAAATTAAACATTGACACCGTTGGATGCCGGCTGTTTTCTCAGTAGTCTAGTGGTTAAGTGCTCGCGCGTGAAATCAGTAGATCCTGGGTTCGAATCTCGCAAGGAGCGAGGTCGTGGATGCGCACTGCTGAGGAGCCCCACAATAGGACGAAACGGCCGTCCAGTGCTTCCAGGTTTTCCATGTTGGTCTAGCTTCAACTGATTCATAATCTTAACCATTGAAATTATTAAAAAAGAAATGAATAAAAGATCAGTAATATACAAAAGAGCATTTACTTTTCGAATAACAAATCAACTCTGATATGTACATATACGTAGTTTTATGTATAACCAGTTATTTCAATTGGAGTCACATGAAAAAGGGAATAAATTAGTTTCGTGTTTAAAATTAAATAAAAATCCCCAGAAAAAGAACAAAAAGAACTTATGTATATATATACTATGACGTGTCGTTTTTACATATAAGAGGAAATTTCTGACTAACAATTATATAAACCATTACATACAAATCTAGTCGGTAATTTGGGCAAAGATATATCTGTTTTGAAACAAAACAACAACAAAACAATATGTCTATAATCAATTTTGATTTAAATAAAATGTTTTCTTATATTTTATCATGTTACTTGGTAACGATTTCCTTTAAAAGAGCGTGGTTTAAGTGTTAATGTATGACATATATATATATACACACACGCACACGAACATACACATCGTCTAACAAACAAACATGCATATATATACTGATTAAATGACAAATTATTGCTTGTAAATCAATAAATCACTGATAATACTTAATTATTATAGGCGTGTCATTTCGTTCATTACCGGAGTATATATATATATATATATATAGGTGTAGCCCTTTCATAGAAAGATGTATGCACTGAAAAATGTAGTTGAAAACTAAACAATTATGTAATTTAAAACATTCTATTAATGTTAACATAACCTTAGACAGTAATTTTCACCATTTGATGAAGTATTAAAAAATTAGAATAAACAAAACCCAAACTTCTCTTGCACTTGAAATACTATGAGATGTAGTTTGCTGAAATAAGAGCTGTTTTAGTGGATGTTTCGAAGATTTATTGTAAATAAAGCTATTAATACCTACTAAATTGTTCTTTAATTGAAAACGTTTCTAGTTTCGAATAGTTCTATAGCGTAATTAATAGATAATAAAGAAATATTCCTATATAAAATAGTACAAACAGTCTTTTAAAAATATTATCCAGTTACGTTTCTTATTAGTACATTGTAAGCTTAGATGGATTGTAGCTAACAGTGGTATACAAGACGCTCGTTTCTTCTTACTTTGGACTCGTCAACTTGATGTACTTGCATCACACAATTGATGTTCCCTCCATGATTCGAACTCGATACCGTCCAGTTCAAAATCCACCGCGTTATCCACTTAGATCTTGGGTATTTGGACTCAATAACCAAGTGGATAATTGATAGCATTTGAAGCGGACCGTACAGGATTGGAGTCCCGGAGCGAACATCAACTGTGTGACGCAAGTACATCAAGCCGATAAGCCCCAAGTAGGACTAAACGCATTCCTTGAATTCCACTGTTAGCCACTGTCTATCCTTGCCTATAATACTTGTGATTTCAGGCAATGTCAAGGCAACCCATTTAAGAAGAACACATGTCAATATGAGATTGATCAATCGGAGTCCTAAAAATCAATGGGAAGATTCAAACAACCAATACAAAAAATGAATTATTAGTATTTTATTTGAAAATCTAAAAAATAACACAAACTTACACAACTTATAGTATTCGTCTTACATTATATAATTTATTGTACTCTGTAAGAAACTGGTTACAGCTAAGCATGTTAAATTTATCGAAATTGTTATGATCCGAAAAATAAAATTTAATCAGAACGATTTTTTCAAGAATCTTGAATAATAAATAAATTTATCTGATCTTTGTGCAAATTCACTTGGTATTGTTTACTTAAGTCTTCCGATTGATGTTTAGCATTGTAATTGATCAGTCTCTTATTGGCATATATGCATACTGTATGTATTGCTTCGATATTGACTATTTTATTCAGACATGTTACCTGGAGTAGAACACTTCTGAGAATATGCAAACTATATTTCTAACTTCTTGTTTATTTCCGTTTATACTGAAGAAACTAATTACTAGGGCAAGGATAAGTGAATACTTCGGCTTTTTACTCTAAAAACTATTACATGGAGAAACTGAACAGAAATATAAATACAATAATTTAGTTCAGTTAAGTAGGTTGCAAATTCATTTGTTTTAAAACAAAACAAAACTACCAAAAGGATGGTACCTGAACTATTTAGAATGTATTTTTTGTTAGGGGTAAAAAAGACTTTTGTATTTTAATCATTCTTAGCAATTAATACATTGCTTTCCAGCCAACGTCAAATGAACATCCAAAACTAGATATTAACTAATATGGTTCTCAATGAAACCATAAATCGATCAATTTTAGAACACCATTGAACACCTGGAAGCACTGGATGGCTGTTTCGTCCTGGAATGAAATTCGTCAGCAGTGCGCATCTACTATCCCACACACAGGACACAAACAAGGGACCTTTTATCCCATTTAAACACTCAACCTATAGATCGTGGGTGCGTAATGTTGAAGAGTTCCATAATAGAACGAAATAACGGTCCAGTGCCTCCAGGTTTTCTACGGTGATCTAACATTGATCGATTTATGCTTTCAAAAATATTCAATCATCTCCAAAAACCCATACTGAAAATATGAGTTTATTCAAATTATTTAAAAGAATTTCGTTATCACGATAGCATTCTCTTTATATTCTTATTCATTTTAAGTTTATTAAAAGAACAATCAGATATAACTATTCACAATGTCATGTCTAAATATTAACTACTTATAGTTCTGCTCTAATTATATGACACTAAATGTTCACAACTTACAAATATGACATTAGATCTAAAATTCTTTGAAATTTTTCATTGTTCATGGTGGGAAGTTAAATTACAATAAACTGACTGATCAGCTGACATTTTTTATTAAAATACATATTTGACAAGGCAACCAATAATAATAGAAAACATCAAATGAAATCATTTTATTTACCAATGATTTCATTTGGGCTTCTAATATGAACAAACTATTAATTTGACATCTTATTTCCAAATCTATATAAATGTTCTTTAGTTTCCAAGTATATGTC